TTTACAGTATATACTTAATCTTCAAGCAACAAAGTTAACAAACTCCATGCACATGCTTAAAATTAAAATACATACATAAACAGATTCAGTTCTTTTTAGACATACATTTTATATTCATGTTTGCAGAGCATGTTAAAGTGGTAAATCAACTCATTATACAAGTCTCAAAACACCTGCTTGAAATTTGAAAATAATGGATACATGAGATGTAAAACTTATTTGTTTGGTATGACCTACCAGATGGGAATTTGAGTCTTTGAACTTGTCTGCAACATCATTTAGTTCCATGGCCCCTGCCAAGAGCCCAGTGGCATAAGACCTCAATGGGTCCTCGCAAACTTCTGCCCAGTGTAATAATCTTCTAACCAATCCATCCTATTCAACAGTAAGTTATATGCAATTCAAGAATTCAACAATATTGAGGCAAAGTTTTCTTCTACCAAGTATTGATCAATTGAAAATTTCTGTATTGTCAAGTTGTCTCTAGGGAATGTATATAGCCAGTGGAGCAAACATACTGTAAACCAACTTTTATTTGCGTCATCTTTTATCCACGATTAGTCCATTTAAAATCAATTAGCGATGATTAATTTTTGCAACTGAGGAAACATTCTCTACAAACACAAGGCAAAATAAATGGTTTGTGGCAATAAATATTTGTGAGTTAAAGTAGGTCGCAAAACTCGCGGATATTTCTCGTATGCAAATAAAAGTTGGTTTACAGTAACAATGGTACGTATGAAATACTGCTATGAACAAAGCATCCACAAATGTTCCATATGACTTAGTTTGATTTGAATGTCATTTGCTGTAAGCTATGATCAGAGCTATAAGATGACTTCAACCATACAATTAGAGGTATGCACAAAGACAAACAGACAGACAGACATGGTGATTCCTAAGCACCCTACCCCAACAATTGCATTATTTTAGCAGTTTTGTGCATCTATTGAAATTCACAACAAAAGACTAAAATATCAAGAAAACCTGTTTAAATACAAAATGTTGTTTTGTAAAAAATCTTACAGTTTCTTGAAATACTGTGGTGGTCTCAAGTCCTGGCATGACGTCAAGCAACAAACGAGAAGCAGCAATATGTAAATCTGTCTGATCTCTGTTACTACTGATCAGATACGTACTGATCAACTGAAAACACAGTGTAAACATTGTCAAATCTGTGAACATCAAACAGCTAAAATGCAAGAATTTCAAACAAGCTTCTACATGTAATAAACGCCAGGGTTCAAAATCCACTTTTTTTAAGTACTAGTCCAATTTTCACTTGTCTGCATGGCATTTCACTACTCTCATATAAAAAAAGATTAACATTTAAAACCTCAATTTTCCTCATTTATTTAATAAAAATTGACTTTTCAATCACCTTGAAATAATTGCTTTATGTATATATACATGTATATTTGTTTTTTACTTTAGTTTAAATAATTAAAAGCCTTGGAGGGGGGATGCTAAAATCCAAACCAATTCTAAATTTTTATTTAGATTTTGCACCAGTCCGTACTGAGTAGTGCTGTAACAGCCAATTTCAAATCTTGAACGTAAAAAAAAATACAATTCTACACCAGTCCAAATATTAAAGGAAGATAATAACCTTTATTACATTTTCAACAGTGAAATACTGTAATTTATATACTAAATAAAAATGATATTCTAACACAGTGTGAAAGGATATCAAAATGGTATTCTCACAGAGACTAATAGTTATACAGCCAAAGTTTTTCCAATTATGTCGTTAAAAATCCAAGTTTACAACTTTTTTCAATCTCGCAATCACTTAGCTATGACATCTCAACCACTCAATTATGACGTCACAGCCTATGACACTGTGTTACGAAAAGACATAGGGAAAGGGAAAATTTAATGTTTTGTAGATGAATGTGGAATTTATTTCACTCGGGAGACAGGATTTTTTTGTATTTTCATGCGTGCTTCGCACTCGTGAAAATATAAAAAAAAAATCCTGTCCCACTCATGAATTAAATTCCATATTCATCTAAAAACATTGAATATCCTCTATGTATAATCACAAAGTTACTCTTTGTAATGTACTTGCCTAAAAAAAAAATACCCTCTCCCCTCCTACTTCCAAAAAAATGAACAAACAGTAAAAAAAATGCTCTTATCATGTTATCTGTACATGATGTTTGAAAAATTATCAAAAGTGAAAAAAAAAATCATGTTTCTGAATATCAATGTATGCCTGTCACTGTATTAAATAAAAGATGTACTTTTACAGTACCTTACTCATGAAGTCTTCGTTTTTGAAAAGTGTTTTCATGAGGTGACCCAGTGCACATGTTGGGACAGCACGACCTGGATGTCGGTCATCAAACGGGTCAGGGTCCATCTTATAGTATTCCTCTGTTTCTCTTTCCAGGAGCTCTGCCATCCTAAAATGTAAAAGGTCATTAATATTTCACTGCATATTTTGTCATGTGTGTGAAGAAAATGTATATAAAACATCTAATCATGATCATTTAAAATTATAAAACTGAAAAAAATTTCCAACACCTAAAATCCAAATGCTGAACATTAAATTAAGTTCATTGGTAATATTTTCTATTCTACTACAGTTATTGCCGAGATCAAACAAATGCTCAATAAATCACAATGTCATCAAAAGATTATCAGGTCAGAAACACATATCAAACTATTTAGGTGAAATAAATAAAGGACATTAGAATGCAATACTTATTTGGACCATATTAATGTCTAGTCTTCTGCAGTCTATACATTGTGTATTATCTAAAATAGCTGATAACTGTCTGCTTTTATAGCTAAAGTGGCTATTCCACGGACCTCCCTACATTTACACAACATGATTTTACAACAAACATGACAAAAGCAATAAAATCAACAACTGATTTTGATATTTTATAATCATAAAAATTAATCAATATATCTATCAAATTTATAAATGATAAAGGATATCTGAAATCCAATGAAAGCTCCACAAACAAGTTGACCCTTTGGTGTTACATGGAACAGCCATATCTTCCAAAGAGAAGAAACTCATGAGCAATAATGACCGAATTCCTTTCTTTGTGTATAAGAAACAATCAGCCATATTTAAGAGTTGTTAGTAGGATAGAAATAAAGTTCTTGTTGTCACGAATGATGTAGGATAACCTCCGAGGTTGAGAAATGTTGTATAAAATATGAAAGGCTTGGCTAATGCCACAGCTTTTATATTTCAAAACAACATATTTCAACCTTGGATTGATTGATTGTATGTTGTTTTACGTCCCATTCAAGAATTTTTCACTCATATAGAGATGTCACCATATACCAGTGAAGGGATTCAAATTTTTACCTTACTCGGCACTCAGGGCCATTCAGCAGTGAGGGATCTTTATCGTGCCAATGCCTGCGAGGCACTGGGCGTCCGTTTTAAGGTCTCATCAGAAGGACCCGCAACTTTCACTTCAAAGTACCGAGCGCATGGCGAAGGAACAGTTGCTACCCATTTTTTATTGACTTAGGTTAGTCGCGACCGAGATTTGAACTCACAACCTCCCAATCATGGAGCAAGCGCTCTACCGACTGAGCTACCATGAAAGGTTTTTAAGCTTGGATGTTATCCTGCAACATTCACAACAAGAGGCCCCATGGGCCACACTGCTCACCTGAGTTACCAAGGCCCTTCTTGATCTTTATCAACAGATTTTTTTCCTACATATTCTTATGTAAAACTTTATCACCAATTGTAGCCTCATCTATCCTCTGGGGTCATGATTTGAATCTACACATTCTGATGATGCTTCCAAATAAATATGACTGATCACTGCTTTGTTGTTCTTGAGAAGATTTTTAAATGACCCAACCCAATTTTTACCTTTTCTCAATTATCTTCATTTGAAAAAAACTTGAATTCTTTTAACCCAGGATACTCTTTGCCAAGTTTGATTGAAATTGCCCCTGTGATTTTGGAGAAGAAGATAAAAATGTGAAAAGTTTACAACAACGACAATAACAACAACAAACAATGGACAATTTTTCAATCAGAAAAGCTCACATGAGCTTTCAGCTCAGGTGAGCTAAAAACTGAAAACTTCTTTCTTAATTATTCAATCAGTATGTCGAAAACTTACCAGAAATGACAAAGTATAACATTTTTTTTTAGCTAATTTACCTGTGCAGTGAGTTGATAACATTGAAGGAGCTGCTGTTTTGATTCTGAGTCCACTCTTCCAGTAAACTGTTTAATTGTGCCAGTGAGTCCAGTGCAGCCATGTCTTGAAATAAAATATAAAAACATTTACTTTACACTATCCCATGTCTAATAAATACTGTAAAATCATTTATTTTCGAGTGGTCAAATTTTATTGGTTTAAAGAAAAAATATTCTTTGGTGGGGGTTTGATTTCATGGTTGTACAGGTATTGTTACAAATTCCAACATTTACATTTTGTGGAGTACATAAATTTATTGGTCTCTTCATACCACAAACACAACAAAAATTACCCCCAACCCCCACAAAAATTAGTGATTTCATATTAATCCTCAACTGATCTGTGCATATGTTTCTTTTTATTCTTTGCCAGTGAATCTGATATGTATTTTACCCTCAATATCTCTACTCTGCAGGGGAAAACATGCCCATCGAGAAAATCTAATTCAATTTTTTTAAATACATTATACAACAGTATGCTGCTATTATTTTTATCATTACCTATATCTTCATGTGGTTTTCTGTCTCTTCAATATTTTTCACCTATAGTTTCAGACAACAGTGGATATGTTAGTACATATTTTACATTTTTGAGTATCATAAATGTGGTATTGTAATCTTCCATTTGTACCTCCATTGTATGCCGTATAAGTGGCAATTTTAGCGAGACGCAAATTGCGATTTATCCAAAAAAAAGTTGGTATATATTTTTAGCGAGAAGTAATTTTAGCGATTTTATAATGTCAGGAGAGATAACTTTAACAACTGATACAGAATAAAATGTTAGCGATATTCAATTTTAACACCTCAGAACCCTCGCTAATAATGCCAAATAATTAAATCCTCGCTAAAATTTCTGCAAATACGGTTTATATTATGATGTGATTTCTGGTGTTTAATGTTGGTGAAATAGCAAATTTAAGAAAGTCGGGAAAACCTGTGCCGTCCTGTTATTTCTTTCACGAGGCTCAACCTGTTTCTTATTTATTTTTACTATACTGATAAAATTGCCTACTCCTGTGTAAATTCACAACTGTGCTCGCCCTTGTGGTTACACCGTCAAACATATCAGGGACCTATAGACTAACTAGTTAGTATATAGGTCCCTTAACATATCAATGTTGATGAATTTACCAGAGACATATAAAAATGGTTTTTATATGTCTCTGAATTAACCGATCAATATTATTTTTTCAGTAATCAACCAGACTGATACCCAAAATAAACATTATTTACATATGTTAAAACTCCAAGTTTATATAAAAACATTGCAAACACTGTATGTTTGAGTAAAATAAGATAAAATTCATTCTATTCAAAATAAAAGTTGAAACCAAAACTAACCTGTATCTGTCAGTTGCACAATGGATACTCCGAGAAGTGGAAGGTTTCTGAAAATGTCTTATAAAACAGAAATGTTATGATAGTTTACACTTTAAACATCAAATGGTTTACTCAAGAACCCGACACTTTATGGTAGAAATTCAGCAAATATTGGAAAATTTCTCCATTTCCCGCAATCCACCATGCTGTTTTCAAACAAAATATTAGGTAAAGCTAGCATTCCTGGTATTTTCGTACTTTCTATTTATCAAGTAACCCATACCAATAATTATTCGAGAGTCTACCAAGCTACCTATCGCTCGCTTGATTTGCTGTACTTCGTTACATAGGCGCTCTATTTCAGGGTGGTGTATTTGTATATTGAGTGTTTTTCTATGTCTGTCTAAACACACTGATTAAGATAGAAATCGGAAATCGCTAGTCATGAAAGTTGTAGTTTTTTTTCTTTTTTAAATTTTTTTACAGGTAGTACGCAACGTACGTGTACAAGAATTTTAAATAAACCTTTCCCACTGATAAGTTTTCTAAAATATTCTTAATTTTAAAATCATAATTATTTGACACAAATATTAGCAAAGAAAGATAGAAAGAAAAAGAGAAAAATTCTAAAATTACAGGGAATAATTAAGAAAAAAAGTTCAAAACTACGTTGCGTATATGTCCTATTAAATCGTATTTCAGTTTCAGGATGGTATATATTTTGTGTTTATCTTAGTCTGTCAAATACATTGGTTTAAATAAATGTCGAAAGTCACAGCAATTAGCAGTTTTACAAAGATCGTATTTCTTAATCTGAAATGGATCCAATCCATATACGTACATGTACATGTACGTGTAGCAGAGACCATATATTGGACAATATATGTTGACTGAAGATAATGTAGTTAATTATTACATTTTAAGAAAACTGATCGATATTATCAGACAGTTTGAGCTAGGGCTAAATTAAATTTGAACTTCCTAAGGATGGAATTGGCAAGCAGAAAAAAAAAATGAAAAATTTGGACAAGCATAAAAAATAAGAAGCTTAATGATGGAACTCCTAATTATTGAAGGGGGGGGGGCTGTCCTACTCCTATATTTGACAGATTTTTTTTCTTGGAAGTGGGGAGAGGGATGAAATAAGGTCAATAACTTGAGAGGGATCAACAAAATTAAAGTGCAGGATATATGGGGTAGAGGAGTCACGCGGGGGCCGCTGGCCCGGTCTTGGAGTGAAAATTTCCATGCAAAAGTATCTTCTCCTTCCCCTCCCCCCGTACTTTACCGGTTTGAGCAGGAATTGATTTTTAACCGAGCTCGAGTCTGAAGGATTGTAAATCACTGAGGGTTCCCCCTCATGTCTCTCCGTCATCTTTGGTATTCTACATGTTCTAAAAGGAGCATTTTCACTTTATACCTGAACAAAGGCTATATAGAAAATACTATGGAACGCCATAGCTGCCTGAAGGTCATTTTCATTTTATATGAGGTGGTATAACCTTTATGTGAAGTGGTGAAGTCATTATATATAGTGGTAAAATCATTATATTCAATGAAAACTTTATTATATGCAGTGGTTTTATCTTTATATACAGTGATAAAATCATTATATACAGTGATAAAATCATTATATTCATTGATAACTTCATTATATGCAGTGGTTTTATCATTATATTCAGTGGAAATGTCATTATATGTAGTGGTTAAATAATGTAATGAAGTGATAGTACCGTTACATTATGCTGTAAAATCCTTATATGCAGTGGTTTTTCCATTATATACATTACTGATATCTTTCTGTGATGTGATGAATTGAATATATACAGTACAAACATAATTTGTGTGATAAAGCAATCATTACATTGTATGAAACCCGCTGCATGTGGAGTGCCAAGTTAATTTCATTCAGTGCGACACCTTTACATGAAGTGAAAAATCTATTATGTGCAGTACTAAGATCATTATATTATATAGAAAAATTATTATATATATTCCTAAAATCATACTTTGCAGTGGTAACATCTTTATATGAGGTGGTTAATTAATTATATGATGTTGTTAATTTGTTATATGATGTGGTCAATTCTTTTTATGCATTAGTCGTTTCATGTTATGCAGTGGTAACTTCTTTATCATCATCTAAACTGGTCCTCTTGCAAAAACATTTTTAAAAAATGCAATTTCTGATTTAAAATTTTCAGACTCTTTTTTAATGTGTTTTCGCTGTAAAAATTGTATTTAAATACTTGGTATTTTAGATTTTCTTTACGATTTTTGGTTTCAAGTAAAATTGGTAGGCAGTTTCAATTTTCTGATTTAATATTTTATCCATTGTGCTATAAGTACTTAGTATTTTAGATTTTTTTTTTGGCGATTGTTGATTTCCATGTTGGTAAAATGTGTAGACTGGGTTGGCGATATTTTATGTGTGTGTTTTTTTTGTTGACATATTTGATAAAAATCTAATAAACTTAAAAAATATTCCGATGTTAAACACTGTATTTTAACTAAAAAAAAGCTTTTCTTTTTGATAGTTATTTCTTTATTTGAAAATGCTGTTTTTATGCAAAATACACATTTTCATTAAAAAAAAAGGATTATTAAACCAGATCCGATCATCCGGGAAGAACCTGGTGCAAAACACCATAAATCATTTCTAATTTCATAATATGCAAATGTGCACTTGTATCTATTTGTTAGTAGATGGAAGGAAACTGGATTACGTTAAATATGTAATTTGTTTAATAATTTTTTCGGGGGGGGGGGGGATGTTAAATTACTAATATCAACTATTTATAAGACTGTTTCTAAGACTTCAGAAAACCTTAAATCACATTGAAATGCTTAAAATAAAAATTGCTGCATGAAAACATTTCATTTTCAAGTTTCATCTTTGCCGTCGCCAACGTGGCACGGTGATTAGAGTGTCTGCTCTAAGAGACGCGGAATAAGGAGTTAATCCTTACGTCACGGGTTCGAATCCGACAGTGGGACGTTGAGACCGATCCTTCGTAAGAGACCGCATAAAGCCATAAACCGAGGTCCCGTTCCACAGTAGGTGTTGGCACGAAAAAAATCCCTCACTGCTCAATGGCCGTAAGTGTCGAGTATAGGACAAAATTTGCAGCTCTCCACTGGCAAATTGTAGCGTCTCCATATGAGTGAAAAATTCTCGAGAGGACGTTAAACAGCAAACAAACAACCAAATTAAAATCATTTTAGCCTTTTTGAATAAAATGATAAAATTAAGAGTTATCCTTCAAGGCTGAGGATCGGATATCCTTAAACCAAGCAACTTACGCGTGATTAAAGTTTGACACAAGGCTTTGCATTAATAGTCCTATAATTACATGTATATGTGATAATTCTTTAATTTATTTATATTTTATCAAATGGCATGTAGATAATGAATAAGTATTTCGGATTTTTTATGTTTAACTTCCGGGAGATCAAATCCGATTTTAATGAACCATTGGCATCGGAAGGAAATTGATAGTGGGGTGGCTAATTGAAATAGAAAAAAAAAATCAAACCTGAAAAAAAACTTGACAAGCAAAAAAAAAAGGGGGAAAATTGTTCTTTCTCCAAACCCGAAAATCCTATTTCGGGGGTGTGGGTGGGTGGGTGGGGTGGGGTGGGGGTGTGGGGGGTTGGTCGAACATCTCTCAGTACCAAATTCTTTTAAACACTACCAATTACCCTTCTTTCACTACAATGAATCGTGCCTGTAGAAAGTGGGGGGGGGGGGGGGGCTAGACCTACGCCCGAATTTTCAATGCCTATATTACGTCTACCTTTGACGCCTATGTGAACCAGTTTTTCTTAAACGTGTCATTTCACTCAAAAAATGCCTTTCAAAGAATGAATAATTTTTAACATCAGAATAATTTAAAAGTTTATTAGCTTTCTGTCAAATATGGCAAAAAAAAAAAAACCAAACAAACAAACAAACAAAAAACAACAAACAAAACAAGTAAAATGTCTACTTGATTGCCTACCCGATTTACCAACCTCACGGGCGGATTCAGAAAGGGCCTATGGGCCCCCCCCCCCCTTGTGTCCAAAATATACATAAGATTTAATAAATCAATTGTTTTTTGGTTTGGCTGTGGGCTACCTACCCCGACCCAAAACTTGTTGGGCCCCCCTTTTCAAGATTCCTGGATCCACCACTGAACTTGGAAATCAACAATCGCCAAGAAAATCTAAATTACTAAGTATTTTAAAATTAAATGCAATTTTTACAGCGAATACACATTAACCTATAAAAATGAGTCTTAAAATTTCAGCACAGTTGATAAAATCAGGAAGCTGTATAATAGAATCAGAAATTAGAAAAATCTCGAATAGTCCCGGCTTTTCATTTGCCACGGCCCGGGTTTCCTATTTTCAAACACTCTTTAAACTGGAACTCCGCGCATTTTTTTAAATAAAAGGACCAGTTTAGATGATGATAAAGAAGTTACCACTGCATAACATGAAACGTCTAATGCATATAAAGATTTGAGCACATCATATAACAAATTAACAACATCATATAATTAATTAACCACCTCATATAAAGATGTTACTACTGCAAAGCATGATTTAAGGAATATATATAATAATTTTACTATATAATATAATGATCTTAGTACTGCACATAATAGATTTTTCACTTCATGTAAAGGTGTCGCACTGAATGAAATTAACTTGGCACTCCACATGCAGCGGGTTTCATACAATGTAATGATTGCTTTATCACACAAATTATGTTCGTACTGTATATATTGAATTCATCGCATCACAGAAAGATATCAGTAATGTATAAAATGGAAAAACCACTGCATATAATGATTTTACAACATAATGTATCGATATTATCAATTCATTACATTATTTAACCACTACATATAATGACATTGCCACTGAATATAATGATAAAACCACTGCATACAATAAAGTTATCAATGAAAATAATGATTTTATCACTGTATATAAATATAAAACCACTGCATATAATAAAGTTTTCAATGAATATAATGATTTTATCACTGTATATGATGATAAAACCACTGCATATAATGAAGTTTTCATTGAATATAATGATTTTACCACTATATATAACGACTTCACCACTTCGCATAAAGGTTATTCCACCTCATATAATATGAAAATGACCTTCAGGCAGCTATGGCGTTCCATAAAATACCATAGATTTTCATTCAAAGGTC